GTCAATAATGTTTTGCATAAGGTGATGTGTGTGTCATTAGCCTTTAAAATTTTGTGTCGATCTAATAATGTATTCATGTTTCTATTGCCTCTTGCTTCACTGAAGTTAGTTGTAGTCCGAAATTGTCTGCGCAAATAGTTTGGTTTGTTCGGCTCATTTTATATGTTACTTCAATGTGATTTACCCTTCAGGTCTTTCGATGAAGTCTATGTCAGTTATACATTTCCCACATGAGGTGATTTCCTTGTTACTTGCCTTTAAACTTTCACACTGATTTAATTCTGTTTCTGTTTCCTTTATCTTTAATGAATTTAGTTCTAGTAAAAAATTGTCTGCTTAAATTAAATAGTTTTGTTTGTATATCTCCTTCCTCATTACTTTTTAAAAATCCCCCTCCCCCCCTTTCCTCTTTTCTCATTTGCAAAGCTCAGAACATCACGATGATAAATCAAACTAGATAGTAAACTTAATTTCAGCACATCATAAGATTTAACTGAGTACTAAATGGACATCATAGACCGAATGCAATGTAGCTGCACAGGAACTTATAAAAAATTTTCTATGCATTTCTCTCTCTTGCATAAGAACTTTAAAATATAATAGATAAGCTGACACTAAAACTTTCTATGTAACTAGCAGTCAATTATTGCTGCAATTTGACTTTCAAAATAAAACTTAAATTAGGAAAGAGGCCACTGACTATGCTTCAATGCTTTTTCATCTCCTCTCTTAACAATGGTAACCTTTAAAACTAAAAAATAAAAAAAAAGTAAAAAAAAAAAATAATAAAAAAAGAGAGATATAAAAGAAAGAAAAAATGCAACGCACAATTTTTACACGTACAAGGCATAAGATTGCCTAATCCTTATTTCGATGGTCGAAAATTTGATGGGGAAAAAATTTACGGAGAGTACATGGACTGCATTTTGCCGAAAGGAACCAAGAGCATTGCAATGTCGCTAAGGTTGTGCAACTGTTTTTACCTTATTAACATAAAGTGATCTTCTAAACAAGTTATATGCTTCTCTCCTCCTAATTGACTATAAATTCAAGAAGAAAAGTACCTTTGTAAGAATAATTTTTTTGCATGATTTCAGCAGTTTTATTGCAAAGAATGTCAGTTGCACAATCCCAGCCACATTGGAATGCTCTTCATTACTTTTTGCAAAATGCAATCCATATATGCTGTAAACAAAAAGATCTAGAAACATTGAAATGGTTAGTGTTTTTATTTCTAATGAAGAAACATAATACAATTAAAATTAAGCGACTAATTCGTGAATATAAAATAATATCTTAAAGAATAAAAATTCATGCAAATGATACTTTTTAAGTTATCATCCTCCTTAATACTAATCATGCTATATTCCCTTCAAGGGTTTTTATTTCTGTAAGTAAGCAGGAAAAAATTAAATATTTTTGGGAACTATTTGCATAAATTAAGGAATAAATGTGAGAGCATAAATTCATTAAAATAATGCCGTGGGCTCAGGTACATGTTTGAGGTAAATTAAAATCATAGTGCTCTCACTTGCAATACTCCTTAAAAATGATTCGGATCAAATTAAAATTATGCACGCCCTTGTAAATGCTACTTCAAAAGTGGTCCGCGTTCAGGCAAAAGGAGTCGTGCTGTTTGAGAGTTTGTCAGGTATCACAGGGCAATTTGAAACCTTACTAGAATATAGTTGGAGGAATTATTTTGAAAAGTTTCCTCCTTGCGAGTAAAAAATTCAGTGAAATGTGCAGATGAATCCTCACAACTTTTTGATTATAAAAGATTACTTAACTTAAAAATGAAATACTACCCGAAAATCAATCAAATATACATTGAGAACTTAAATAATATTTATTCATTCAAATGATAGTCTTAGAGGTATAATCATTGATCGAATGATACAGTCAAACATAATCAATGGTCCCGCCTATTAGGGATTACAAAAAAACAGCGGATTCATATTTTATCTGATCTCTGTGTCAATGGCTATCTGACCTTATAGGAAGTGAGGACCTTGTAAGTTGGATAAAGCAGCTGCAATTATTACAGCATGATCAATAATACCTATGAAATTATGATTGAAGCAAGCACGAGGATCTAGTAATGCGTATCCTCTTAGACGTCCGATTACTCTTTCCACATGAATTCTTAAACTAGCTATAATCTTTGTTTCCTTAATTTCATCTTTACTCATTTTGACACCCCCTTCAACTGATGGTGGCCTTATGAGAGAACAATTTCTTTTATGCAGTTCGACTTCTATTTGCTTAAATCCTCGATCTGCCATGACAACAGTGTTCTTCTGCAGCATATCTAAGAGCCCGCTTTGACTGACAATTTCAGAATCACTGGCCCGCCCTCCATAGCCTTTTGATATAAAATTGATGAATCCATCTGGTGTGGTTGAAACAAGATATTTAACAGTATTATTTTTTTTATATTCAGACCATGTCAGTGATTGATGCTCTGGATCAGACAATTGCTGAATGTGAATTTCAAAGCAATCAAGTAAGCATTGAACATCCGAGTAACGAGCTTTGAACTGGAATGGGACATTGGCTCGAATGATTTCTTTCTCTGGCCAACGAATGAGCGTAGCCATGAATTGAGAAATTAGAGGGAAAGTTTTTGAGAGAATACGTGATATGGTAGATTTGCAGAGTCCAAAGTATATGGCTAGCATTTCTATTGGCTCATCAAGACGTATTTTGCGCAAAACTATACAAATGTTTCTTTTACTGCAATTCGTGAATTGTTCCAGAGCATCAATTATACATAAATTGACTGGATCTATTCCTAAAAACAGTTTTGGATACTTTAAGGTCACCTCATTCATGACAGAAGATATACGACCTTTAAATTCCTCTTCGATGACCTCTTCTTCCAAATATTCCTCATCGGCCTCCTCTTCCAAATGATCCTGATCAATTTCAAGCGCGTCCAAATTGAAAGAAACATCAGATTGTGATGGAGTTTCAGCAGCACTGCTGCAAACGCTTTCATCCAGCGCGGATTGCTGCTCAGAAGTATTTGAAGAGCAACTAGCATTCAGGTCGAGTGCTACCACATCAGCGTCTCCTGTTCCCTCAGCTTCATGGAACTGTGAAGAATGTGGGTTATTGTTTGTAGCTTCCGATGTAGCCTCCGTCTGAGTGCCTCGACAACATTTATATCGAACTACACGAACCCAAAGATCATCGCACTGGAAAGATGAAAAAACAACAAAAATCAGGGCTTTGCTGCATAAGAGTGCAGTATGAACACTAAATAGTGTACTCAAATAAATAGTGTATTTTCTTCGGTAAATACATTTGAAAGGACAAGTGAATGAAACAAAAAGTTGTGTGTTGGTAGGCTTGTTGCACATTACAATGATTGATGAAGGCTTCCATGAAAAATAAAAAGGAAAGTAGTCCAGTTTTCATACAGAACAACCACTGCTAAATAGATCACTTTGTAGTGTAATTACTGGTATCAAAAATGATTGCTCTCAACTACTCAAAGGCTGCCAACATTGAGTTTTGCATGCATATACTTTCAAATAAGGAACGCTCGTAAGCATTACATTTACCTGAATTCCAACATCTTTGAATTTGGGCTCTGCTTCGATTACATTCTGGCTGAGCGATGCTGAGACATCCAAAGCAGCATCAATGTCAGAAGGATTTTCCGATAGCGTATTTTCAATTCCACATTCCATGGCCTGGACAGTTTCTTCCTTCTTGTGCATTTGATTTGTAATGTCTCCCAAAACTTGCTGCTTGGCAATTCTGCTTTTTTTAGCAGCTAGACTCCTAGGAGCTTTGGCGTGGCATGTTTTTCGATTCGGTTGACAGTCAAATTTGTGAGGTAGGATTCCTTTCTTCAACCTCAATCTGAAGATTGGCATCTGATGCTCCTTCAAAAATTTATACCGGTACCAGTCTTCAACATCATCTTCAGGCTGAAAGAAGAAAGCGTACTTAGAAGTATGACAACAAAGTTTCCCTGATGTGACTTTCAAAACGTGAGAAACAAAACATCCTAGCTTGCACTCACGCAAGTGAGGCGAGGAAGTGAAATGTCAAATAAGCTAGGTGAAAGGAACCAAACTGAATTTACTAGAGCTGGGCGGTATCACTTTCAGTTACACCAGAATAGTTAGGACCTGAATAGGTTAGCTGTAAGGTTGATAACTATTGTAGGTATGTAACTGAAAGGTATGCATCCTCTACATATACATCTCTTGTTCCATTTGGGGGAATGATTTGCATACAGTACAGCTTGCGAGACATTCTGAAGTTCAGGGAGGTTAAGATAGAAGTAGGTACCTGGTAGGTCTTATTAATCACAACTGCAAGGACAACTTGACAGTGCAGCTTGGCAAAGCACTGATCATAAATGCTGAGACACTTCTGTTCATGTTCTGCAGATAAGAGAGTTAAAGAGATTTGCTGAACTTGCTACTAGGTAAATATGATTGCAAATTTCATATGCGGCTTTACATGATAGAATTTATAAGTAAGTACTTACTGTAAAGTGATCTTCACAACACCACAATGGTATGGTCAAAGACACGGGATCTCGTCTCACCATAGAGAACCATTTCTTCCGAACGGCACCCGTGGGCACATTGAAAAATAACTTGTCAGGTGTTGAAAGTTTAGTATTCCGACATTGAGGCACGAGACAATAAACGTGTCTCCCTTTGGAAGTCATATTTAAGGGGAAAAATCAGAAAAATGCACTCGCTGCGATAAAACATATACGCTATCAGCCACGCACTGCAATGTAAACAAATCTCCTTTGGTAGTTGTGACGTCACGCCCCCGCACCGTTCACTCCCCACACACCGATTTTAAATTTTCCCGCCAACAAATTTTGAACTTTGATGAGCTTTTTTGGGGTGTTCCGGGGGTCAAAAAATTCTGGGAAAAATTCATTGTGCTCAGAACGATGCACACTCCTAGAAAATGAATTAAAAAAAATGGGTGCAACAGACCCATTATATCAACGTCAAAGTAGCTGAAATTGCATACTTCCTTAACTTCGAGCGCGCTCACTTTTCGACTAGATTATATTCGGTTGAATGCGAAGATTATTTCTAATACGTGTATTTTTAATGGTTTTGCGTCACGCGATATGGCAACAGGGCTCAAATTCAAAACCGTAAACTGCAAGGCAGGGGCGCGCAATTCAACCGACCTCTGACTTCTCCCCTTCAAATGGAAATGAGGCTCTTTCAGTTTCACCGGGCATCCTTCTTGCACCGAGCTCCCCGCTTCCCGGCCCTCAATCCCTTTCTTGGTAGGGGAGGGGGGGGGAGTCCGCATGACGATTATATCGGAAAGTTCGAAATCGGGGCGAAGCGTTTTAGGTTTGCAGCGACACCCGAAGTCCCAAAGGGACAGGCTGGAAATTGGGTCCCGTAAAAACTGTGGGAAAAGTCATATTCGCCCGTCCCCAGCCAGAAAAAAGCGTCGATTCTTACTTGATGGATGTGACGTGGATCCGTGCGTCATTCTAGGAGGTGTTTTGTCTTAATAAAGGTGACATAAAATGCACCTGCCACCACCTTAAGAATATAGGTTAATCGTTGCCACGCTGGATTGTGTCAAAAAGAAGGTCTTCCAACCTACGATAAAGTAGGGAGAGGAGCGATTTCCAATTGGAGGTGTTTATGCTAAAAGGAACTATGTTACACGTTACCCCTATGCATATAGTTCGTTTTTGTAAACTGGAAAAAAACACATTGGATCTAGAGTCCAGACTCTTGAAAACATTGACAAGAAAAAATACTCTTGTTCTAATCGGATTTTTGCTTGAATCAAAAAGAAATCCGCTTAAATTATGAGGCTTGGTTCTTGATTTAAGCTAGATTCTGATTGAATCCAGAGTACTTTTTCTTGTCGATGTTTTTAATTGTCTGGACTCTAGATCCAATGTGTTTTTTTTCCAGTGTATGAATATGTCTAATCAGACCCTCGGTAGCTTTTGATGAATCACTGATTTGGCAGTTTGACAAAGGACTTACCAGGATAGGTTCTGAGAAAAATTTGTTTCTCAGAACCAGATTTTCCAGTTATTCCTATCAAAATAATTACGGAAGGCTCAACCAAATCACATGTTGTCGTTTCTCGGACAAAAAGACGTGAAAATTAAAATATAAAATTTTAAGAAACAGAAACAGTCAGTCAGAGAATTTTAACAACCCGACGCGTTTCGACCATTAAGGTCATCATCAGGGACGCGACTTTTACGTTTTAACCTTTGACCTAGTCTGGTACTTTTCGAAAAGTCGTTTTTTAGAACATTTGAACAAAAAAATGTAAGTCCATTCCAAAGTTGCAAAATTGACTCAAGTAATTCGATTTTTCACAAGAATATACCGGTACGATTTTTGTCCAAAATGTTTCTGATTTTTGAACGAGACCAGATGAACTATCGGTAAAATTCTCATTGTCAGTAGGAAATGCCCGAGAATCTACAGTTAAAATTTCAATTTGCAATGACACATGTTGCAACATTGGAGCGTAGTTGGGTGAGTTCAAATAATCGTCTAATCTGGTGTCTCCAGCTGTTTTAATCGTCATAATCTAAGAAACATGGGCAGATCAAATTTTTTTCTCATTTTGCACACTATTGTTGACTATTACATGCTGTTTCCCACTTTATTTGGACTGAAATAAAAATTTAGGAGAACTTTGAATGTGCAAATTGCCTACATTTGTCCCAAATTTGCGTGTCCCCGTGCCTGGTTCTTGACTTTAAATCGATGTTGCAGCATAACTAGAGTGATTATTTAAGAAAACTTTATCGGAGGTGATAGGTAATGCTTTTGAATTTGAGAAAAAAAATATGTCAATTTATTTTTTGCTCCATCAATAAATTTTTCACGCGCTAGAATCATTGTCCCAAGCAACAGTCAGCAACAGTCAGGAGAGACATGGCAACGATGTAATAAGCTCTAAATGATTGCCGTAACGTTGAGGTTTTTCCAAAAACGACTTTTTTTGTTTTGATAGAATAGTTCACACGTCGTAGATGGCAAAAATTCTGAGATTCGCAAATTTTTGTGCAAGATTAACGCCATTAATGATGCCAAACAGAATGCTATACACGATAACTAACAGGGCGTCAAGCATACACACACACACTAATATCAGCTCGTAAAATACTTTCAAAGTGTGCGTAAGGGAAAATTTTCTCTTATTCCGAATCTCTAGGACGTGCTACTAAATATTCCGTGAAAAAAAACACCAAAATTGTCTTTATTGTTAGAGATAAGCTTAAAAAACAGCTTATTCCATCCTGTCCCGTTCCATCTTGTCCCGTTCCATCCTGTCCCATATGTCCCAGTTCAGTGGGACAGAGTGGAAAACTGTTACAACTGAGACTTGCTTATTTAAGCCCTGTAGGCGCTCTTTCCTACCGATTTAAGTGAAACTCAGTAACCGGGGGTATTTTTCAATGGGGAACTCGAATTTTTAGTCGAATTTTGAAAATTCGAAAATCCAAGATGGCGGACATTGCCTAAAATGCTATCGCAGCGCCTAATCAACTGAGGCTTCTTTGTTTAAGCCCTGTAGGCGCTCTTTCCGACCGATTTAAGTGAAATTTGGTACGCGGGGGTATTTTTCAATGGGAAACTTGAATTTTTAGTCGAATTTTCGAAATTCGAAAATCCAAGATGGCGGACATGACCTAAAATGCTATCTCAGCGTCTAATCAATCGATTTACGCGAAACTTGGTACCCGGGGGTATTTTTGAATAGGAAACTCGAATTTTTAGTCGAATTTTCAAAATTCGAAAATCCAAGATGGCGGACGTTGCCTAAAATGCTATCTCAGTAAC